TTCTGGAAGAGCTGCTGGGAGATTCAAGTCAAGATGTCCACAGCGACTCGCCAGCGATTTCCTGATTTGAAAGGGAAACAGGAGCCCAAGGTCACAGAGAGGATAAAGGAACACACAGCCCTCCGGCGGGAGGCTTAACAGGATCCCGGGTCCCAGCCTCCCGTCCGGATTCCGTGCTGTCAAACTAAGCTCCAGGGACAAAGCTGGGGAAGCAGGTCCTGGGACACGGTGCTGCGATGGCCGGCGAACCAGGTCACTGTCCCCAGAATTCAAACCTTGACAGGGCATCACAGCAACCAACTGCTAATGCGCTCACTGATGAGCCCCGAGCCCCCCGCGTGTGACAGTCACACTCCTACTCGCCAGGCTGAAAAGCGCTGCTCAGCTCAGCTGATTATATATCTGGGCTTTTTTTTTTTCCAATCTACTCTGTAAAGCAGTAATGCAGAGTGAAAAATAATAGCTTCCTCTAAGGGCTGTCAGATTAGCATATCATAAGAAGGAATTTTAAAAGACAACTAAAGAAGATGCTCTATTTTTAAAGAGTGGATTCAAAAAATAGACAAAATGTGATTTAAAAAAAAAAAAGTTTCTGTTATGATGTAAAAACGTGTTCGCTACATCCTTCTCTTCTGGCCTCGGCTATGAGTTCTGTTTGGGCCATTAGAACACTGTGGCCTTAACTGTGGGGGTCTTCCCGTGCTGCAGAGAGTTGGTGCAAAACCTCTGATTTGTGTTTCCAGCTGTTGAAATCCCATCCTCCCTTCCAGGCTAGAAATCTGGGCATCAACCTTAGCTCTTCGTCCTCCCTCCACCCTAGATCTGTTGTATCAGCTCATTTTTGTTACTATGACAAAATGCCCGAGGCAGGCTATTTTATTTTTTTAAAGAGGCTTATTCTTGCATGTGGTTCTAGAGGTGCAAAGTCTGGAGACCTCATCTGGTGATGGGCTTCTTTCTGTTCACATCCTGAGATGGCAGAGAATGCTCATCGCAAGGGACAGCAGGTGCCCATGAGTATGTTTGTCTGTCTGGTCTTTCTTTCTCTCCTTATACAACCACAGGATTTGATCCTGGGGGCTCCACCCTACTGACCTTGTCTAACCCTCATCATCTCAAAGGCCCACCTCTAGGCACCAGAATAAGATGAAGTTTCTACCCTCCGAGTAGTCAACCATGGGGACATGGGGACGGAAGATCAACAGGAACTTGGGAGACAGACCGTTTTCAAACTTCAGCATCTGTCAGTCTCCGGACCTTGTTGGCTTACCCCCAGATGTCTCTCAAGTTCTCTGGCTCCTTGCCTTTGCCACTACCCCTGTCCTAGG